ATTTATTTTTTACTTTCTAAGGCAGTGAGTTGGTAAGGATTCAAGTGAAATTTCAGAATTTGAGACCGGTTGTATTACACAATGTATTGCTGGGATATTATGCAAGTCACTTAATGTTTTGTTCGTGAACAGTCTAACCCAAGGTGCTAATTAACTAGAATAATTGCATATATATAGAATGCTGTTTTCTTCCATAAAAATAAATCTGTGAGGCGAATTTAACTGCGAGCTTAATTGTGTGCAACCTTGGTTTCTGAAAACAGCAGATTAATAGCAAATATTTTTGAGTGGTATTTTCAGTTTTAACCAAGTACTTGTAACTTTTTAATTGTTAATATCACTAGTCATAGTTACTGATTTGTTAGATAAAATAAACTGTTTAAATATTGTTGTTTTCCACAAAGTCTGACCTCACTATCTGTTTCTAGTGGTCAGTATCTTATGATAATGATCAACTGTTTACTGTGTAGTCTGGAACAATGTCTTTTGTGTTTTGCTTTGACATATGCGCATTTTTTGTGCCATGTTGAGTGTTCTTTTTCTGACTTGAGCTCAAAGGTGTCTGAGCAAGGAACACAGGGTTGCTGGAATCTATTGCTTATGAAACTAAGCAATACAAATGCAAGTTATTTTAAATTTGGGGCATTCTATTTTTTACATCAGACTTCTTGGATGAGTTGAGTCTTGAGGATGTTTGCGGGTACCAAGTAATAAAGATGTATCAGCTTTAAATTGAGCACTGCTGTGGAAATGGCTACAATAGGAGGAATCAGCATGATCTCTCTAGAGTGATGTAACAAAAATGAACACCAATTACAGTGTATTCTGTCCACTGGGACTTAGCCCATCGTTTTGTCTAATTATGGTATGAATTCTACAATGGAAAAAACCCTTCTTCTGTAAAAAACTAATTTCCCTAGAAATACAAAAAAATCTTAAAGAACTCCATCCATTTCTCAATAGATAAAGAGCCAGAGAGAACCTGTGCCAGCCTCTTACCAGAGTGGAAGGGGAAAAAATAAACAACAAAATAACAACAACAACAAAAAAAGCAACAGAAAAAGATAAAGGATTACCCTGTGAGACAAGGAGGGAATATGAAATAGTAGAAACTCCTCTCAACCTTTATCTCAGCTTTATTTAATATAAGAGCTGCCTGTTCTATGCCTAAGGAACTTTACTGTCAAGTGAAAGTTGATAGATCTATTGACATTTACTTGATGAATAATGTTGGACAATAATTGTTGGGTAATAATAGAGGGATGTGACAAGAAAATGGCCAAAACAATCTTCTGCTATACTCCTAATAAGTTCAGAGACACCCCAAACTAACTTGGGTAACCCAGACTGCTCAGGAATGCTTTGTGTACTGTAAATTTGTTACCAGACATGTTATTACAAGAAATGGGTTGCTTGAGATAGAAAAAGGGTAACCTCTGACTCCTCATTCCCAGACCTATTTTTCAGACTAAATTCCAGCACAGATTTGGTTGGGCTTCTGCAAATGTGAGGTGGTTCATTAAGCTCTACTGAGGGTTGTTCAAAAGACAACTGAACAGCAAAAAAAGTTAGCAGATGAGAGAAGGGCTGTAAAGCTTCTTCAGCACAATAGAGGGTGGTTACAAATAAGAATGACGAAGAATAGACTACAGTCACTCAGGAATGAGGTGACCGCATGTATGCATGTCACGAGGCATCTGTTTATTCTGAGTTTTAAAACCTGCAGTATTTAATAAAAAGGCAGTGTTTACCAATGAATTTGCCTAAAATATGTCTTTCCCAGCTGCCTGGTGAAATTGAGTCCGAACTCTTAGTTTCATTCAACTGAAGGGTTTCACATATTTCATAATGATGATCTTTCAAACTACCCTACAAGAAAGAGTAAGCAGCCATCCCAGGAGGAGGACTGCATGTTGCTTTTATTTGCAGATCAGTCTGGGGAAGTGAAAGACCAGTAGAGCTGGAATTAATCACCTCAGAGACAGGTAACAGCTCTCATTGCTTCCTGGCCATGGAGACGCTTGTTTGCCATGTTTGTCTTTCCCAAGAGAGTAATTGATTCTGTAGATGTCTTCATCTTTGAGTCTGATACTGCATGGCCCTTCTGCCTGCTCTAAAATTCTGAGCTGAATCATGAGTAGGAGAATGCTAATGCCACATACCTATGTATGCATCTGACAATAACAGATCTTCCTTTGCTTTGCTGGCCTGCTGTATGGATTACTGTTGTGTTGTAACTGTGTGTGTGCCTACATAAAATGGATTCTGATGTAAAGTTTTAGTTGTATCTGCTGTGGCCTTCTCTGTCAGCTGCTTTTGAGTTGTAAGCTAGTACTCAGGCTTCCTCAGCAGAAGGAAGGAAAGAGGCAAAGTTGCTAAACTAACCAGTGTTCATAGAGTTCCTGCCTTTAATAGGCATGAGTGCCATCAACTTTAGAGTTGTCTATAAGCACTGTCTGAACAAACAACTTGCTCACGAATATGGAAGGCAGCTGTTCACGGGAAGGCCTTCAAGAGGACATCTGGTCCATCCCACTACCTCAAAGCATAATAAATTCTTCCTAACCCCTTTGTTATTGTCTAGCATGGGCACAGCAAGCACTGAGTTTCCACTAATGTCTCCATTTGGAGATATTTTAATGCTTCCAAGTCTAGCAAAATTCATGGGAAAAGTTGAAATTTCACCAATTCTCACCTAGGCCAAGTGTAGATGTGCTTGTTGTGAATGCTTAGCTGTACCTCCTGCAATGGGAGATGCTAATCCTTTCTGAACAGCCTGCATGTGAATTAAATAGCACAGTGGGGCAATGATGTGCCTGGTAGCAAACTGGTGCCTACTTGCAAACAAAAGCCAAATGAAGGCAAAACAGCCCCAGTATTCTGATCTCAGTGGCTCCTTCCAGAATAGCTTATAGTTGCACATATGGAGAATGTTGATGTGCTGTATTTGTCAGCTGTCCCTTTGGTGTTTGTTATGCTGCACAACAATAAATAGCTTCAAAACTTAGTATATAATGTAGTACAACATTGGGCAAAACCAAGGCAATTCAGAATGCTCCTGCTTTGCAGGATGCTTTCAACAACAGTGAATGACATTTCTTTCCCACCAGGTACCAATATGTACGAAGTGCAAACTGGTCTGATGTTACCACTTGGACTTCCCATGTTGACAAATACAGCACTGTAAGGACTGTTTTGAGACTTTCCTGGTGCTGGTAGCATGAAAAAACTGTAAAGTGCAGTGAATTCACAATCGGTTTAATTATATTGTGACAAGCTCTAGGATTTGCTGGTGGAAGCCTCCTACTGGCTTCCTGGGCTATTAAGTATTAATTATGCCTCAGCTATTTTGATAAGTTCCTGGTAACCTGAGAATTATTGAGTAACATTATAAAAAGTTCTGCACACTGACTACAATGAGCATGAATTAGTATGAATTAGGGTTGCTAAGGCATAAGGTATAAAACAGAGATTATCCTAAATTTAGTTTCAGCAGATGGCAACTAGGTTTGTGCCTTTCAAGCTAATATTACAAGCTCACATAGCCTTAAAAAGCCATCTCCAGTTACACTCTGTGCCACAGTATTAGAAACAACTCCTCATTAGTTCTGAGACAAATGAAGGATTCTGATGTGTATATGATGTGTAAGGGACATGTGAAGAATGATGGGGTAGGAGGTGCAGAGTGCTTGAGCCTGTAATACGTTCAAATCCAGCTCATGGGTTTGTGCTGTCCTGTAGGTAGATCCAGCACTTGCTTGCCAACAAATTTCAAAGGTAGCCCAAGTACAACTTGCTTCTGAATGTCCCCTGCTTTTTAAGGAAGAATTTGTCTGTCCAGTGTCAGTTCACAGTGGTGCCTGTGATATGCAGTAGTATCCCAAATAGGTCCTGCTTTCTGCCTCATCCTTCTGTAATGCTGGTAGGTATGTCTGTTCTTTGTAAAGCCACAAGGAAATATCAGCCAGTAGCTATTGATGTACAAGTGTTTCAGGACTTGAAGAGAAAACAGGTTGAGGACAATAGTCTAGATTAAAAAATATGAATTGCTTGCTTGCAGACAAGAACAGATGTCAAGTAACAAAGCATGAGGTCTCATTTGACTTGCATGTGCCTGGATGCTGTGTCTTAATTGGTTGCTGATAAATGGGACTCCTGAGTAGAACTTTGACCTTAGAGACAGGATAAATGTAGAGAGAGTCAGTTTTGGAAGATGTGGCCATTAGCTGGATCGAATTATAGTTTGAAAATGGGTTAATAAATATAGAGGAGAGGGAAGGGAGGGAAAGGGCTTCTGAATTATTCATCCTTTGTTTCTCAGTTGACAAGTTTATACAGAAATGAAATTCAAGTGGGAGTATAGAGAGTGTAATTTCACAATTATGTATGAATTGAACAGATGTTTCCATATAATATCAAGATCTGCTTTCACAACTTGGCATTACCTACGGCTGGATGAATCCAAAAAATCCAAGGCTCAAAATTCAAAATCAGTTTAAGGTTGTTTTTCACTCATGGCATCAGCAGGAGGAGCCTGCATCTTTCTTGCAAAGTGCTTTAATGCTTAGCTGTCTATCTGCACTGCTGTGTTACCACATGTTAGTGCAGGATGAGGGCATATTTCTTTTTCTGGTGTAGAGGAAGCATGCAACTAAGTTTTCAACTGTTGGTCTTGTCCACAACTGCAGAATGGAGGTGATGAACTTAATAAACAGCCATGTTTCCAACTTCTGAATTGTAGTAAAGATGGGAGCAAACTATTGTTCAAGCAAAACTTACAAATACTGCTGGGGCTCTGCTTACAGAGATGCTTTCCTGAGGCCAGCAAGTAATTTGAAATCCATTGGCACTACCTGAACCTATTTCTGCATATGAACTTGCCTCTGAGATCCGTACCTTGAGAGCATTCTGCTAGTAGTACAGAGCAATCAATGACTCACAACTGATTGTAATGTCTCTTTAATTTTGATTTTTTTTTTTTTAAAACAACTTTTTTTGTAGTAAATAAATGAGAAGGAAACAAACTGACAGAAGGAGGTGGTGTGGATGTGATGCTTTCAGATCCAGCAGATCCATGCGGATGTTACTGTTAGCATTCCTAGTAGCTGACTCATGTCTCCTCAGCAAACCCAGGTCAAAACACCTCAACAGTCTCTTTTCTTACAGGCATCATGTCTTGAATTTTACAAATGAAAATGAAATGGGGAGAAAAAGCATATTTTTATTTTAAATAGGAAATGCAAGCTTTAAAATTTGCTGGCATTGTACGAATGATGCACTCAGTCTCTCTGAGAATGTAGATGATTCAGCGGACTGATACTTTGTTTGAAAGGAAGGAAATTTAAAGGAAGACTTGGTGGTTTTTTTTTGTATTAGAAAATATGGCGTTTAGTACTGTTATGCAAATGCACAGTTTCACTAAGATATGATGTAATGATGTATAAACTATACACTGAATAACTTTTAAAGGGTTACAAGGCTCTTCTGAATTAACAAGGCAAAAAACCCAGTCCTGACTCATTTCTTGTGGCTTTTCAGTTGTGATCAGAGCCACGAGGAAGCTCAGATTCTGATACTGTCATTTTTCATTAGTAGGCTTAATATTTTTTTGTTAATATTTGAATATTTTCTACTGCTTCTCATAAAGAAAGCTTTTCCACAGATAGTGTGCTGGAAGGTTAATGTTTCAGTTGCTGATTTGGTATGATAGTTTATTTGAATCGTAAATGAATTACAAGTTTGAAATGGAGCATCAAGTAAACTGAGAAGTCATACAAAGCAAGCTGGATGCTGACCCTGGGCTAGACTGCACCCTGATAGCTGAATGGATGATGTGTACCAAGCCAACTTAATCTGCATAGGTTTTCATTACACTTAAGTGTCATTGACTAATGTAGCAGCCACATGTCTTAGCTGGGTTAATGCTCAAATTGTCATCACATAGAATTTGGACTCTCTTGCAGTGCTGAAAGTAGCACTCCTGGAGGACCCAACCATCCTGCCTGCTGATCTGTGTTGTGCTCATGGCAGAAAGCTTGTGGACATCTAGCTTTTTACCTTCTTTTCCAGGTAGATGTATATGGCTGCTGTATTCCTGTTACACGGTCAACATGCTATTTTACAGACTAAATGTTAGATTAGGTTAATGTTATATAAATGGTGCTATTCAATATGAGAAAACAGGGTTTTTAAATAGCTTTGTGCCAAATACATCAGTGGACCAACCATACTTAGCATGGATGTAATTTGTTATTCTATTCTCCCCCACAGAATTGGCTAAAAAAGCAATTTCTCATAAAAACAGCTCACCCATACACAGGCCTGTAAGTGTAAGTAAAGAACCTGTGAACATGAAGCATCTGAGAAACAATTTACTGTTTCTGGCACTGACTGTGGAGGGAGTGTCATCTCTATTTGTAGCGATGTTTTTACGTGGGGAGTATGCACTTTTCAGGCCCTGAGAGGACAAAGTGAATTGACAGTAAGTGTATACAGAAAACAGTGAAAAGTACCAGAGGAGTTTATTACCATGTTAGAGATGTTCTGTAATAGAGAAGATAAGCTGGGTGAAATCCATGCTCTTCAGAGGTGTAGTAGAATATTGTTCAAAGTTTACCTCTAAGATGCAGTGAAATTGATATGCCTTATTTTATTCCTTTTTTCACATTTACACAGATAAACTTATTTCTGTATCTTTCATAGGTGAGAGGATTGGGGTCAGGTTGCTGCTTCATAAATTCAAGTAAGCATTTCTCCTCATTCTTTTAACTGATTCATCAGGATATTTGAATCCAGTTCTGTCTTTTAGTGCTCAGTCTGTTTTGCGTTCTATCTGCATGTTCCCTACTAGACTATATCCAAAGCTGTTCACTCTTCATTATTGCAGTGCCAGATTTTGGCATTTCTTTAGCTTTTTCTACTTTAGTAGAGAAAAAGGAGAAAAAGAACTAGAAAAGCTTGGAAAGAAGTCATCTGTCTTTCTCTAAAGAAAACCCAACATGAATGAGATTGAAAATTATTCTGAATTTGTCTGTTAGGAAACCAATATCCATCTGATTGCCAAATGTTACAATCCATTTTAGTTACCAAGTGATACTGGGAAGGCTGGAAGATATGACTGCATCTGTAATCTGCTCAGTCAATTTAGAGAGCAACAAAGAAGTAGTGTCTTAACATTTTCTTTCCTGCTGTTTTGTTTTTATTTTATACTTTTTTTTTCTTTTAAGTGCTCTTTCTGATATCTGTATGGGAAACAGTTCAATGTGAGAAACCAATAGTTCCAGCAGGTGATGAAACATTTGTTTACTACTGAAAGTCTGCTGTACAAACATGCCATTCAACTAGGAAAGATGTTTAATATTATCTTTCTTAAATAGGAGAAATGTCTGAGAATTTCCAGACCACCAGTTATTTCTGTATGTGCCCTGTAGGCTTTTTGCACTTAGTCAAATAACTTTGAGTAGTCTCTTCTCAGGTAAAGAACTTAAAAGCAGAGCAATAGGACAGCAAATACAGACTCCAGTACATGTTCTGATATGCACCTCTTTGTTTTATCTTTCCTGGTTACACTTCTCATCATATTCTGAAAGGGTTTTTAGAGGATTACGAGTCTGACAGCAATGATTTTCATAATGTAAGTTTTATTGAGGGTCTTGCACACGTTGCCTGGTGAACAGCCAGTGGGTCTCAGCCAGTCAGTGTCTGAGTTCATGACACCAGGTCTTTTGTGCTGCTGTTGATGGTTATGCAGTAAGTTACAGGGCTCATACAGTTGGGCAGAAGTTCCTTCCACCACATCTTTTCACGGGGGTCTCTAAGTGGTAGGAATCCTGAAGTGCATTTCCACATCTGTGAACTGCTGGACATTCTCAGTGCTCTCTGGAGGTGTGGTGACTGGGGAAACAACATGCTTCAGGCGCAAAAGCAAGGTGAAAAGCAATATGAGAAGGATAGCCAGAACTGTTAAGAACAATCCCACATACACATAGAGACCAGAATATTTATCTGCTGCTTTGTCTACTTCTGTAGCCAGAGTTGGATAGTGAATGCGTCCAGTCAAGTTTCCATGGAATTTGAAAGAAATCTCAGTCATTGCTGTCAACTTCGTTACATTTTTTCTGTTTACTTTCAAAACTTCAATGTCTTACCTCACTGGTCTCAAAAAGTAGGTCAAAAGAAGACAGATGGTGATATGACTTCTGTGTAAAATTCAGGAGGAAATGCTATCCTCTTGTCCTCTATCTGTTTCACAGAGTTAGCAGACTGCAAATAATAAGCCTTTGTAAACCATAGTTGCTATTATAATGATAACAAGCGCTAGACTTGTATTTTACATGGCCACCAATCTTCTATTTTGTTCTCAAAATCCTTGGCTGCTGCTTCTAGTAGGCCACCTCCTTCGGAAGGTGAGATGCTTTGGTTCTCCTTCCAAATTGATCTGCAAGGGGTTGTATAATTTCAATCTTTGCAAGTGCTGCTTTCCAAAAAGAGCAAGTTTTCTGCTGGCTTTTCCAACAGCAGGTGGTTTATCCCTGCATGAGATGGGGAATGTTGGTGTCTGTTGGGAAGTTTCTGTGTTAATCCAGGGTTACTGATGCTTGCTTGGAATATAGAATTTCCAGTTTCTTGTAACGCATTGTGAAAAGTTGTCTGTCTAGAGGGAAATATGAGAGAAATGAAACCAAGTTTAAAAATAGCCTAATGCGTATGTGATAGCTTTAGGTAAGAAATGAGTTTAATCCCTTGTTGTGCTCCTGTGAGCCAATTTGGCTCAGTGCTGCTTCTGATCTATTTAACTGGAGACTTGGGCAGAGAGGAACCTTATGAGGTTCAACAAGGGTAAGTGCAGAGTTCTACAACCATGGAGTAACAACTGCATGTGCCAGTACAGGTTAAGGGCTGACCTGTTGGGAAGGCGATCTGTGGAGAAGGACTGGGGTGTGCTGGTGGACAACAGGGTGGCCAAGGGCCAGCAGTGTGTCCTGGTGACCAAGAAGGCCAATGGGTACATCAAGAAAAGTGTCCAGCAGGTCAAAGGGAGGTGATCCTTCCTTGGAGGAGAGGTCACATCTGGAGCACCGTGTCCAGTTCTGAGCTCACCAAACCAAGAACATTTTCTGCAGGTAACTTCTAGAGAGAGTTCAGTGGACAGCCATAATGATCATCGGGGCCTGAAGCATCTTCCTACTGAGGAAAGGCTGAAAGTTTTGTGGCTGTTCAGCCTGGAAAAGACTGAGTAGAAACCTTGTAAATATCTAATGGGCAGGAATCAAGTACATGGGGCCAGGCTCTTCTCAGTGATGCCCAGTGACAGAACAAGGGGCAATGGGCACAAAGGGGAGCATGGGAAATTACATACAAACATGAGGAAAAACTTCTTTACTTTGAGGATTACAAAGCACTGGAACAACCTGCCCAGAGAGGCTGTGGAGTCTTCTTCTCTGGAGTTGTTTAAAACTTGCCTGGATGCCTTCCTGTGTAACCTACTCTAGGAGATCTACTTTAACGGGGGGTTGGATGATCTCCAGAGGTCTCTTCTGACCCCTATAATTACATGATTCTATGAAGTTTAGAGGAAGACCATGCGAGTCTAAATATTAGTCTCCTCTGGTTCTTACTTTAAAGGTAAGAGGAGGCTTCACAGTCTATGGCATTAGGTATCTTAGAAGAAGGGAACAAGAATCCAGCCAGTGCCCTACACGTGTTTTTTATTTGTTAGGACCCCTTGTTTCTTTTGCTGGGTATGCTTATATGTCCAGTATCCACTAGGTATGGTTGAAAAAAAATTCCCCTGGAACTCTCTTGGTCATGTAACAACTGGGTTGTCAGGGTACCTATAAACAGCAACACCTGTTTTTGCTGGAATAACTGAAGTAAAGCATTTGCATTGTATTTTTGTAGCAAGTCTTGCAAACGGAGGTGAACGAATTTATGTACAGATCATAAATCTCCCCAGACAACAATGTTTACAGTATACCCAGAAATCCTCACAAACAAATGCAGAAAATACTACTGTTAAAAAAAAAAAAAGGGTACTAGAAAGAAATTTTCAGCCCTGTCCAAGGCTAGAGTATGTATAGAAATGTTTGTTTTTCAGAATATGCAGTTTGCTGCTGAACAGCTTGGGAGAACTTAAGATTTGAAAGCTTCAGTTAGGATGTAGTGGGGGTTGATCTGGAGTTTCCCTCCCATACATACTCCATTTTATGAGTTCTCTGAGCAACCGACTTCAGGAGAAAAAGCAAACATTAATAATGCAGCCACAGCTCTATCAAAAGGAACAAATTAAGAAAGACTTCAGATTGTGGTGATTCATAATTACAAGTGATTTGGGTTCTTTAGAATAAAACACTTGATGTATATTAGATGTTCTCAGCTCTAGAAGAGAGTATTCCTATACCTTCAAGATTTTTACTTCTTTGATTTACAACCTCCAAAATAAAGTACCCAGTTCCCTGTGATTTGCAGATGTTAGTATGTGTAAGCCTTCCATTGTGCTGCTAAGTTGTAAACAGAAAAGTTGTCTATAAAAATGCCATTAGTTAGTAATATGGTGCTGATATGCTATTAAGGACTTGGTGACTATTTTAATATCTTTCTCTGACTGGAGGAGACATGCAACAGGATCCTAATGTAAGAAACAGAAGATGGGGGCAGTTGGTCACAGAAGTGGATTCACAGCTTAGATGGAGAGAGAGAGGTAGGGTGAAGTGTACGTTTTGGGTGCACATGCCCTGAGCAGGAATGTTTCACATGTCTAGAGGTCCCAGAGGAATGTCTGTGCTGAACCCTGAGGATGAGCTTGAACAGAAGCATACATTCTGGACTCCTGCAGCCCTTTTGCTTCTTGGTGATATGGGTACAGCAAGCAGCCTTCCACAACCCTTGTGGGTGCTGTATTGCTCTGCCCCCCAGTGTACCAGTGACAGAACAAGCAACTCTTAAGTATGCTTAAACATCCAGAGATGCAAGCTTGTGGACTAATCTTGTTGTCTGGTCTTAGGGCAGCCTTGGGGCACCCTTCAAGGTCTCTAGCAGTGAGCAAAAATTGCAGCGTTGTTATATAGTCTGTGGCAGTGACTTGAGCAGGTTTGGAGCTGAGGCAAGAGCAGGGGATGTGAAGGCTGTGTTATAACCAAGCACTTAGCCAATTATAGGGCAATGTATCTTAGCTCTGTTCTTCAGACATAAGTGACAAGTATTCCCTCATGAGGAATATTCTCATGACATAAAGCAAGTGGAAATTAATATGGCCAGTAACCTTCGTATCATTTTAAACCTTTGTATTTAAAGTAAGATTTCCTTGTTGATAATGAAATGTAGTCGATCTGGAATCTGACGCATGCGTTAAAGCGCAGAGCAATGCCCATCTCATCTGCTACCTCACTAAGAGCAAAAGTCAGAGCTGGTTTCTCTACTTAAGCCATTAGGATCTTTCCTCCTTTATAAAATTAGAATGCAGAATGCTAAGGACATTAATCTTAAGTTCAATAATTAACTATAAGCCAAGACCTTGAATTGAGAAAGCTCTGCTAATTAATAAAAGGAGCAGATTAATAATAGAAATATTAGCAGTAGAGGCTTGGCACAGCTTTCATTTTTTTTGTAGTCTCAACTATAGAACTGTAGGGGCAACCAACTACTCAGGCTGTTGAAACTTAACTACATCTCTTTTTTTTTTTTTTTTTTCCCCAGAAATAATTCAGTAGCCCCAGGCAGCACTAAAGATTTCTGCTGTTCAATTTGCCAGTGATCTCAGTGAATGTATCTTTTTGGATGTTAGTAAATTCAGCTTGAACTCCCTCATTTAAGGAATGCAAACTTGAAAACTGTGGAGATCAAGGTAATGTGAAAGTAAATGGGTACACAGAGGTTCTACAAAACCTGTGCATAAAGCAGATTAGTATGTATAACTTTGTGTAACTCACAGTACTACAGACAAAACCTCCCTGGCTACCCTTTGAAGACCAGCAGTACGAGGACAAATTAAGTAGAGATTTATTAGAGAGCAGAGCAGCGTAAGTGGTGCCAAACTTCACTGTGATCTATGTTCTTCATCAGGGCTTTGTTGCTTTGCTCTGGCTGGACAATGTATCAGTTTCTAAGGAGTGTCAAGTACCGTTAATGCTCACTAATGCTCAGTGGATACAGGCTGATTCCAAACAGACACTTCCTTTTCAGCACTTTGTGCTCATTTTATGCAAGGATTAATAACAAAACCAGAACATTTCATTTAGTAACAGAAAATGACAACAGCAAAACAACGGTAATGAAAATAGATGCCCTGAACAAAACACCAATAAAATTTCTTCTTGGAGTATGTCTTAACAAGAGAGCAAATCTGAGCCAAAACTTCATGAGTGCTGCAATTACCACCCTCCTTCTGCAGCTTCAGGAACTATCAAGATTTTCCCCATTCTTAGGAAGCTTGCATGGCCCCTTCGCACCTTTGTAGGTCACAGAGAAGCAGAAAAAAAGATTCCTCCCTCCCCCTCAACAATGCAGACAGACAACAGAAATTTGTTTTGCAACTCATGTCTTATCTCACTTATTTCCTTTTACTCCCAGATTGCTTTAAGTGTCACCTGCTAGTAACGCATCTCTGAAAGTGAGGGCAACTTTTGAGTTCTTTTGCTTTTCCAGCCAATACTAACATCACTGCAATGAGTGAAGTGGGACAGAAGAGAATGGTTATTCCAAAGCAGTTTAAGGTGCTCTGAGCTGTCTGACAAGCACAGAAACATTTCTTTTAGAGCACAGACACTGCCAGGTGTATTCTGTCTAGGTGACTTTTAGAGATAAGACAGTGTTGAAGAAATGCAAACAAGGCATTTAAGTATCAGTTCCATCTATGGCTTGCATTTTCTTCAGGGAGTATCTGAGAGGAAAGGGGGAGTGTCTTTTATTTCAGTGGTGGTGTTTTTTGTTCTTATGCTGAAGTGCAAGATAGTATGGTAGTGTCTCAGCTGTGACAGCGCACAGGGAGAGAACAGAATAAAGCATAGTTACCTTTCAGAAGCAGGAGTTTTGGGATTAGGCACTAGAGCCGCTGGTTCGGACCATGAGCTTGCTGGTGATGTATCAAGGCATATCTCCTCCTAGGTAGTGGGATTAGTACAAAAAAGATTTGCAGTCTTACTGTTGGATTCAGTGCATTTTTAGTGCATTTGGCATATCTGTTGCTGTCTTCTCCTTTGCTCTTGAATTCGTGTGGTTTAATGTCAGGTATGGCTCTTATTCCAAGTCTTGATGTCAATTTACAATCTGACTCAACAGCATCAGAGCTGGTGCTCTGTTCTTCGTAGGCAATAGAAGCAGAAGATAAGGAGATTTCTCTTTGTGTGCTTCACTGCTTGGATGGAAACAGCATAAGCCAGCAGTTCCCTCCCTCAGCAGCAGTAGGCAACAGGCAGAGCGGAGAGGATCGCAGCACTCCAGCGCTGCTGTATCTTGGCTGCAGGAGAGGAGGGAAAGGAGGGAGGCTGCCAGCTCATCACACAGCAAAGTTTGTGCAAGGTTCTTAACCCTTTCGTGCTACAAGTGGTAAACAAGACTGAGCTGCCTTGTAGTTGAGGAGTAAGATGTGAGTCAGGAAGAAGCAGTATCAATTTCTTTCTAGTTTTCTGCAGATTGCAGAGGTTTTGTTTTGCTTTTTGCCTCTTGGGAGGGATTAGTTGGGGAGAGCTCCCAGCTGGGCTCCTGTTTGCAATCATGGGCAGCTGTCACTTTTCATCTGGGGCCCTCAAACATTGCTCTTTGGGATTGTTGCTTTTTATGTTGTTGTTTTTTGGGGTTTTTTTTTTTAGTTTTTGGTGCTTAGTGTCTGGTGTTCTGAGGAGGTGTCTGTGGCTGTTTTAGCTTACAGTTCATTTATCCCCTGAGGTATTTGAAACTGTTAAGAAGTGTACCCCCAGCTTGAATACCTTGTGGCTAAAAAAATTTTTTTTGCTTGAAGCTCAGATCTACCTGCAGAAAAGAAGCAGGAGGAATTGAAGTTGATGTGGGAACCTAAACAGTCCTGATCTCACGTCACTTGACCTGCATTTATTACCTACCCCAAGCTGACAAATGCAGGGGTTTTGTGTCCCTGTCCAGTTACTATACAAATCAAACAGTATGAAAATTAGAATTTTCATTGTGTGCACATCTCAGGAAGGTGACAAGGATCAAGATTGCTTACTTTACACAAGGTGGCTCAGTTTTCAGGGGAGCAGATGTCAGTTGGGATGTGTGCAATGGGTTTCACCAGCAGAGGAACACAGCTGGGGATGACCAGGTTGTAGACAGGGAAGCTGCAGTTTGTGATTGCCAACCACTGAACTGCATGTAGCTGGGTTTCACATGCAGCCTGAGTATCCATTCCCCGTGTTCTTTGTGTCCTAGCTAAACCTGACCCACAGGCCCACAATTACTGTGGGTTTGCGGTAGCTTCCAGTGACCAGAGGCTGTCATTCATTCTCAACCTGTGCTTTGGGCACTGATGACAAGGTTTCCCTCTGGAAAGGAGATCCCATGCAAGTTTGGGAAAGAGCATTTCATTTTTTCTTTCAAGCATTTAGAACAGCTCTCTCCTGGAAGTTCCCTATCTCAACTGCCTGAGCAGACTGCCCGCAGGATGATGGAAAAACAGCTGCATAACTCTTTTATCCTTTTTGGAGTCAAGGAGTATGTTATAAACCCATCCTTCTCTGGGTATCAATATCTGGAACTCACAAGCACAGTGCATTCTTGCAGTGCTGCACTATATAGGTAAAAGATAGTCTTTATCAAAAACTACAACTCTTCCCTCTGAAAAGCAAGGTTTTCTAAGGCAGGTGTGTTGCTGATCTTACTACATGTTTTCTTTGTTGTAATCCTATATGTACTGCCTTATTTTGCTGTTTGTGCTATGATTCCCCGCATGTGTATTTTTACTGGAATCAGTCCAGTTTCTCCTTTAGCAACAAACTATCCAATGACACCTCAAAACCTTGGGAACGTGTCCTTTTATTCAAGGAGAAATGAGTGAGAGCACTGTTTAAACAAATTATGTTGTGGGTTGAGTTATGAAACTCAGAAGAGGCAGACAGGCGTGTGTTGAAATCCTGCAAGCCAGCTTTCTATGTAATGCTAACAAGTGTTGCTGAAATGAAAAGATCTCTCTCACCCTGCAACCCAGCTTCTCTGCTCAGCTCTTTTTCCCTTTGTTGTTGTTGCAGGAAATTCTCTCTCCCTTTTGTAGGACCAAGCTGCTCTTTGCTGGATGGGCATACTTGGATTTGTTGTTTCCTTTGTAGCAGGGTATAATAAAGACAGATGAATTTTAGATAATATCACAGTTTATACCAGCTGAAGCTAATAATTGCTTGACTGACTGATTGCTGAATTCCTGAGTTGTTCAGAAGTAGGTAAGGCTTTCTCTCTACGTAAATTTTTGGAACAGTCAATGACAAATTTGTGTGACATAAAGGTAATTTCCAAATTACCTTGGAAATACACAGATAAGAATCTAGTGGAAATAATTTTTCAAGCAGCCATTAGAAATTTGGAGGGTGAAGAGTAGAGTCCTTATTAGGTTCCTTCCTTCACATTGCTTGACCTGTGCACCAAGTTTTGATCAGTTAGTTTTAGATATCTTTCTCATAACACTCCCACAGCTAGTGACATTTGGTTTTAACAAGGCCGAAGGAGATGTGAGTGATTATTAGTGGTTATAATCTGTTTATTTCTTCAGGGATTCTTCTGTTATCCAAATTTATGAATTCTATAAACAGACAAAAGATTACTTTGGATCTTTCAAAATTTATTTCAGTGTAGCTGCGGAGAATGAAGACAGAGTTGGGCTCTCCTCTCTCCCCATGTTTTTGCAGCTGAGACATCCCAGGTTATTTGAGCTGTCATCTGCAGAGACCTTTGATAATTCAGATCTGTGTGTGGGAGGGCCAGCATTGAGTGGAAGCCTCTTTTGCTAATGTAGATGATATCTATTGAACTCTGGAAAAAGGTGCAACTTGGTAGGTGTCTGTGCATTTGCCAAAGATGACAGAAAACAGAAACAATGTCTGAGTTTTCAGTTCTAGGGATGGAAAATGTGTTAAATTAGAGCAGATTAAACTCAGATGTCACGTCTGAAATGCTTTCTGCGTTTGGATGTACTTTCTGCTTGTTTTGAGGTTACAGTCAATACCAGTTCATCACTTACGTATTTGTTGCTATCCTTACCTTTTCTCTTGTTAAAACAGCTTCCCTTTTCCACCTATGTGGTTAATCCCTGTAGGAGAGTTTGACTGACTGAGCTGTTGTGCTGACCTGTTGTGCACTTGGTGAGAAGGCAGGGCCAACCTGGGGAGCTCAGGTGTGTGCAATGTACTTAAGTGACCAGGAGTGGAACCAGGAACCACCTCCCAGACCTCATTTAAGGATTGGCAATAGAGGAGAGGGATTTCTAGCAAGATCCCTGCCTACCAGAGGCCTTCCAAAAGTAAGCAGTTTTTCTTCCATATCCATGGCTGCTACATTTCGTTGTTCTCATTTGCTGCAGCCTAGGATTGTGCCACTCCACTGTTATTGCTGTACTTTAGAGGAGAACACTGCAGTCAATTGGATGGCAACCCTGAAAGCAAAGGAAGTTGCCTGGAGTTTTGTTTCTTTCTTAGACCACAAAGGATCTGAAGTAAATGTACTGATTTGTCTCTACTTCATTTCTTCTTCACAGAAAGGGAAAAATTACCACCACTTCCTCATGAACAGTCTGTCAATACAAAGTGCTACAGAAATGCATGTGGCCATGTGCCCACTGCTCCAGTAGAGCTGAGTCCTTTTTCTCCTGTGCATTCCCATGCAATCTTGTTTTGCCCAGTACAGTGTGCCTCAAAACGCTCGTGTGTTTGGACTGAGTTTTATTGTTTTGAAAGGCTTTGGGCTATTTTGACGACTTGGTTTTGTTTTGAACTTCATTCTTCAAAAATACTGCAATGGTTTTGTTTGTTTATAAAAATTCATTCTCCCACAGATAACTCAAGAAATTCAGCCTAGCATGATGCTACTGGTAGTTTTAAGGAACATTTCTAGTCTGATTTACTGTTGTCAGTGAAGGACTGTGTTGTCCCCCAGACTGAATTCTGTCTGAAACAGTCCTAAGCTTTGTTTTCCTCAGGGAGCTTGTAAAGGTTGTCATTACAGATCCCCTTTCTCTAGGTAAGTCAATGGGATCAGTCTAGCTCTGGTAGGGCAAGATAGAAAGAGCAGTGTTGTATGAATAACCCTTGGGTTCCACACGAAATGCAAGTGCCTAACAGCCTCCTTCCACTGAGGTCCCACACAGGTCCTTGCAGATCTTGAAAAAAATTAGTTGAAAAATGAGTCAGAGATAGAACTCAAACCAGATACTGTTCTCCAGCCCATGGTCTAGATTATTATTACCATTACTATTATTCCTAAGTAGGACAGCTCTTGCAGTACTTATTCTTAGGGACTTCAGCACAATTTCTAGACCAGAGAGCTTCAGGGAAGTCTGGAGAAGCTTTTGGATGTGCTGATCATCTATTTTTGCCTGTCCAGTTGTTAAAATACAACCGGAGTAGCCCTTGCTTGATGTTGAGTCACTGTTTCAGTTGTTTAAAGTCACTTTTTTTTTTTTAACACTCATCAAGCTTGTCTTATGGCCCAACTGCACTACTTACTGGATGATCTTGACATGACTGTGTGCAATAATTGTTCATAACTGGGCCTTATTTTATCAGCAAGGTAAAGAATGAGCTTCCAGGAGACTAGGTTGTTCCTCTGGATGATGGACAAGTCTGCATGGGCAGTGCAGGTTTTGCTGGGATTTGGGTAGCTCAGAAACTATTCTTCCTACTTCCATAGTAGGACTTGTGCCCCAGCAGAGACATGGCATGGATGTATACATCAAAGCCAACAGCTGATCTGTGTATATACATGAAATGTGAATGTTTTGTATTTCGGTGCTCTATGTAGTTTTCCTGAAATTCTAGATATTCTTGATGGAGCCTGAAAATACACTTGCTCATTTTTTTTTTATTTCTACATTCTTTGCCTTCAGTCTTGCCCCATGCTCAGGCTGTGGACAGCTTAGCATTGCCTTCATTGCCACTTAGTATTGTTTTATGGCAAGTGAGTGAGTTGCTCTCGAGCTGCTGGACCTGCTGTCACTACAAGGTCTGTCTCAGTACCCCAAGAGCAGGACCTCTCTGTGCAGGGAACCCTTTGACTCTTGTGGGCTTCACAGTGTTCTGCCTGCAGGACCAGCTTGAAGGGTTGAGGATGCGATTCCCTGAGAAGTGCTTCACAGAGCAGATGATGTTAGACATAAGGAAGAACTTTTTCCTCTCAGAGTGGTCAGGCACTGGAATGGCTGCCTGGGGAGGTGGTGGAGTCGCCGTCCCTGGCGGTGTTCAAGGGGCATCTGGATGACGTGCTGTGTGATGTGGTTTAGTGCTTGTGGTGG